ATTTTTTTTCTTTTCGCTTTATTCAGCATTCAATTCCCTTTCTAATGACATATCACAAGTTCGTATCTAACCAGAAACTAGATCAGAAAAAAAATATTATTGAAATTCACCCAGTAGGTCATGGAAGCAAAATGAAAGCCAAAAATTGAAAAGTTGGCTATGGAAACCATACGTCGCTTGATAACAGTTGCTACTACTGTGATATTTTTTTATCATTCGTCGGCGTTATAAAAAGCCGCCAATAAAAATATTGGAAAAATTGGGAAAAAAACAATACTCTGTAGGTCCGTAACCTAAATAGGAACATACAACTTTTTCTTGCCTGTACTATTCAGCATAACCATTCCTTTCTAATGATATACACGAAAGTCATTTTTTGAAATGAAATACCAAAAAATCCAATTATTATTTATTCTTCAAATAACAAAAAAACAGATTTATCGAAAAAAAAAATCAAATTGATAGGATGAAAGATGAAATAAATTCAAAAATGACTTTTTATTATTATATCATTAGAAAGGAATGGGTATGCTGAATAGTACAATGGTACAGGCAAGAAAAAGTTATATGTTCCTATTTAAGTTATGGACCTACAGAGTATTGTTTTTTTCCCAATTTTTCCAATATTTTTTTGGCGGCTTTTTATAACGCCGACGAATGAAAATAAAATATCACAGTAGTAGCAACTGTCATCAAGTGACGTATGGTTTCCATAGCCAACTTTTCAATTTTTGGCTTTCATTTTGCTTCCACGGCCTACTGGGTGAATTTCAATAATAATTTTTTTCGGATCTAGTTTCTGGTTAGATACCAACTTGTGATATGTCATTAGAAAGGGAATTGAATGCTGAATAAAGCGAAAAGAAAAAGAAAATAGGGTTTCCATTTAAAATAAGAAAGTTGATGTCACTCCTGGTCAGACCGGAAGTTAACTTCGAAATGTCAATATGCTCAAATTCTAGCTCTTATGTCATTATATCGACGCTCCAAATTTCACAAACCTACTTCATACAATAACTGAGATATTCCGTAGGCAATACTTCCGTAGCCACCCGGTATGTACATCTTAACAAGGGTCGTGTGGGCTGATAATGAATTATTGGCATTCAATCACCTCACTGTTTTTTTTTTTTTTTTTTTTTTTATCGTTTGGAGCGCACGGAAGGGAATCCCTATAATGTTCAAAGAACATCATGCGTTCCTAGGGAGGATAGGGACAGGAGGTAGGTATTGGATTTTTTTTGAACTTTTGGAGATTATATGTTGTTGGGAATACTTCCACAGGCAATGAATTCCACAGCCTAGCCGTTCTACGGATAAAGGAGTCTTGATAAAGTGCTGTTCGACATCTTTCGAGGTTGACAATGAAAGGATATGCTGACTGGGCTTGTCTAGTTCGTCTGATTGGTATTGCTAGTGAAGGGATGAGAGCAGAGATTTCCGAAGAACATTTCCCGTGGAAGTATCGATAGAAAAGTGAAAGGTCGCCGACCTTTCTACGGTGTTCCAATGATGTCAAAGAGTGAGTGAGTGTGGCGTCACCCACCAGGCGAATGGCTCTTCTCTGGATGGAATCTAAGAGCATCAGCGTTTGTTTCTGTGCTGAACCCCATATGTGGGAACAGTATTCTAGAACAGGCCGTATCTGCGCTTTGTAGATCATGAGAAGCTGTTGAGGTGTAAAGTAGCTTTTCGCACGGAACAAGAATCCGAGTTTTTGTGAAGCAGCTTTTGCGATGGATCTGACATGATTATCCCATTAAAGAGTGTTGCTAATGGAAATACCGAGCATAGATATGGTGGGCTTGGTGGGGATGGTGGAGCCAGACATTACAATATCGGGCATACTTGAGTTCCGCCTTTCTAGAGAAAATGCAGGCTTGAGTTTTGGTGGCGTTGGCTTCACCTCGGTTGTTGTTTTCCCAGGCTGTGATTTCAGCAAGATCTTCATTGACAGCATTGACCTGCCTGCGCCGTGAGTTCTTAGTTTTCTGTGTTTCCTTAGTGTTGTTCAAAATCGTTAATTTCAGAGCTCATTTCAAACGTAACGTCATGGCCGCTTTTGGCGATACGTCGAATAAATGGTGACGTCTGTTTTTATGCTTTTTCGTTATTGGTCACGTGGTCAAGTTATCAAAATGTGTTCAAGTCCTGTCGTTCAATAAAACATAATATAGAAGAAACTCATGATATTATAGTTCATTCTTGACGTTTTCGAGCAACCAGCATGTCCAAACAGTTTTTATTCTCCATAACAAAATATCCTGTGAATGTTGGAGACTGGCAACATTGTGCTGAATGCTGAGAACTGACAAGACCACGCCCACAAGTCGTGCGCGGGGTTGTCACGTTCACCGATTCAAATGCCCTCTAGTGTGAATTAATATAATTATTATTCACACAAATTTATTGTAAGCAATAAGCCATAAGGAAACATTTTGAGACAATTGAATTTTTATTGCTAATTAGGAATATTACTAATACTCAATTGAGAATTTATGAATTATTATAATACTAATATTTCTGAAGTTCCCAATCGTATTTAGTAATAGTGAAACACGAATTGTTTTTATTACGGGGGTATATACTTGAAAATCGACCGAAAAATTCTCAGAAAATAGAAATTGAAAGGTATTTGAGTGATGATTCTATTCAAGGAACGAAGAAAATTAGTCCTTTCGCCTATCATCATCCATAATAAAAAGTTATAACCAAAACTTTATTATCTCAATTGGGTGAGTTTTAAATATATATATATATATATATATATAATTTAAATTGGGCGTATATGCATGTGCATGTGCAGCATGTGCTGGTATAATACGACCCTGCATGTGCTGTTTGTTATATATGTTACCGTGAAAGTCCGAAAGGCGGTGATTGTCAGGATATACCTACCAGTGAATGTCAACATTCACCAAGTCGGCGTATGTCCGATATGTTCATCAAATATCATTATTCCTAACTTCTACCGGGAATGTCAACATTCATCATATACTCATGGTGTATATGTTCGAATGACTCTTGTATAAAAAGAAAACAAAATAAAAGTCTTCAGGTTATTATTTATTTTGATTGAATCATGGAAGAAGTTTTCAAATGAACATAAAGACGTTGTTGAACTTAAGACAAACACAACGAACATGATATTAATATAAAAATAAAATACATTTTATTTCTTGAACTAAAATGTAAAAACAAAGTAAATGTATGGCAACCTTATTCATTGCAACAACTCAAGCTACTCAACTCAAGTTTTTGCAGCTATATACAAATCAGACGTAGAACACTTCTTTTTGCAGTTTCAGCGTGTATAGCCTTGCCCTCCGCTTTTTGAATTAACAGAAGCTGCTTCTCTCATCCATGGAAATTAACTTTTCTTCACTATCAATCAAACCTTGTGTGAGACTGGCGACAAGCCTGTTAGGACCTGTCGTTTCCGACATCGACCAAAGCTGATATGTGTTTGTCGACATCTACCGGTGAAGGACCGAATTTATATTAAAACTAATAATTGTTCGGTCTTTCACCAATACATTTGGTATGTGTCGACATTAAACGGTGTATGTCAACAATCACCAATTTCGGTATTTCACGGTAACATTTCTGAAAAATACCTAACAAATATCCTGAAAAATCCAGTTGCATTCACGAACAGGCTGGACGAAGAATGAATGTAATATGCCCAGTGGGCATATTTATTAGATGCATATAAATGTAAGCATATTAACAACAGGTTATGGTTGACACTACCAATTGAAAATAAAATTTGGATTATAGGAAACAGAAACATAGAAACAATGAAACTTTATAGTTTTCATTATGAAAATGAAGATTGCAGTCTTATCATTTTTGGCGATTATATTGACTGCTTCTTCAGTAATTTCATTCTCTCTTTCGATGGTGAGAGGCATTGATAGAAACATTTCAATGGCATGAGATGAAGCTGAATAAAATTCACTTCCCTTCATTTTAATTCCATAGCATCATTATAACTATCGCTACCCTGTCTCCAGTATTGAATTCTTCGATGGATCCTCTTAAAAATTTTCAATATCGTAGGTTTTAGCGATATCTTTCTTTCTGGGTCCCATGTTGAAAAGGCCGTTCGCGTGTTTCTAGAGAATCAGATTTTCAGGAAAGATATCAGGGAGACCATACATCGCATTAAAAAACAAAGTGATTTGTTGCAGAAACAACCTCAATATTTGTTCTATTGACCTGCCGTTTTGCTATACGGATTTGCTTCAGATTTCAACTCCAAAATCATCGGCAATTTCCATAGATTTTGTGAAAATACTCCCAAAATATTAATTAGCAATGTTACCAATTCGAATTTGGAACTATGAACTTCATATCCCCTACAAATATGTTTTTTATTTGAAAATCAATAAATATTTATTAAGAAATTCGAATACAATTTGGTTAAAAAAAAAACATCCTAGACGTCAATTATTCCACCCGATAGTATCCCTCTGTCTGTAGAAGAGTAAATAAGGCACTTGTGTGTCCTGCGACTTCAACACTTGCTCTTCGGTGATTGTCCTAACGGTGGCGTCATCGAAGCACAACCAACAGCTATGTTCCATTTGGAAGGAATCGGTAAAATAATGGCCCCTGCATGGTTGCCTTATCGTCGAAGTGGTAGACCACGGCAAACAACACATACTTCCTTCTTTCGGGCGTTGGTGACTTCGAAGATAACAACCTCGATTCGATTTCTAGGTTGACAGGGAATTCCAACGCCTTGATGATTTTCGGCTTGAAATCGAAAAATTTCAGATGCAGAATGAGAATGACTGGCAGCACATCCAACATCAATTGCTGCAACGCCTGTACCACTTCATTTGTGTTAGGAGAAGTCATTCCTTCCAGCTGCTCCTTATCAACAAGTGCCTCTAGAGCCTCTTTGGTCGTCTTCACTTTATCAACATTCAGTTGCAGAGTCATGAATGGTTGATTATTCTCCGTGGAAACATCTCCAACATTTTCAATCTCCACTAGTCGCCAAAAATACCGCATATTGTCGTCTTTTCGAAGACTTTTCTTTTTGAAACACTGCAAGTATTCTCAGAATCCAAAACTGGTCTCATCAATTCGACCATCTCGTCGTTGAGGCCGTTCAGTAGGAATCCGAGGAACTCTTCGGCGTCTTCCTGCCTGCCCTCAATCAGGTCCGACTGATATCAATTATGATCAAAATCTTCAAAGTGCATCTCCAAGAAGACGGGGGTTCGTCTTCCCCTGTCCCCTTTCTCCCGGCGCCCATGATATTTAGGTAAACTATCAGAATTCCAGTCTGCAGTTTCATAATATGTATGTATATTATATCTCGTGAGAAAATGCAAGCTAGAATAATTCCCGTGATGGCTCAATGTAAGTTTAAATGTAATCTTGGTTTCAACTCTACGAATCGGATGACTGAATTTCCTAGACTATATACAAACTTAATTGAAGTGAAACTCGAATTGTTTTCATTACGGGGATATATACTGAAGTAAGTAAATTTCATCTGCTGAAGTTATTACCGATTTGCAGAATAATGGAGAAAATGTATATAGAACCGCGATAATACAGCTCTGCTAGAAATCCAGGTATGTACAATAGGTATTTTTTCAGCCGGTTGTCTTCGAAAATGCCCGTAATATAGAGACATGTATGAAATTGATGCGTATACTCTTGCCTTCATGTTATAATATATGAATAATTATTGAATATGCCTAGAATACTCGAAGTTATAGAGAAACATCCTCTGTTAGTATTTGACTCATTGCATAAGTCCATAATTCTACCCTAATGGCCCCTCAACCACAAAGCGTTACTTGAAGCAAGAAAGGAAGTGTATATCAAGTTAAGATGATAATAATCATACCTGCCATCAGTTTGCTATACTCAAACGGGGTACTGCAAGATTTGTCATTGTCCGAATAATTTAAGTAGATTTAACGCAGACTTAGAACAGTGTTGTTAGATATTGAAGAAAGGTCGTAATCCTGGTTGAATACAAATCCTTCTAATAGTCCTAATGATTATTCCGAGTATATCTATGTAAACCTAACAATCGAACATATTTTGTCTTATCCTAACTTGGATGCCTCAAACAATGGAGGAACGGGCACAAACTGGTCCATTTTGCTTCGTAGAGTTTAAAAGAAGTAATGTACAAGTACCTCTGATTGCACCATCGAATATTTTTCCATGTATTTCAATGTCTTACTGCTATCCTTAACTAATCTGAGATGCTTCTTGAACTATACAAATTTACCATTTTATTGATATAATATCAGGGTATACCTATACTGATGGTGCTGTTATAGAAGTAGAGGAAGTTTCCAAGTCAGCAATAACTTCTCAATGTGTAAGAGCTGGCTATAATATATCTTTTCATCTGTTGGAGTGCTCGAAAAGAAATTCTTATGATAGCAACCTTTCCAGATTCCAATTGTTCTCGAGTTTTTTGGCTTCCATAAAATGGTTTGTATACTGCTACCGTTATACTGCAGTGATTCCATTCTCTCACTGATGCTTTCACGCTTTGCTAAGAGATTCTTCATGTTTACTATGGTATTCACCTTACCTCTGCTTCTTCTCTGATGATCACAACCATATTATGATGGTTCCTTCGTATTCTGTGTTGGTCACACGGTACCTTAGGAGTAGAACACTGTAAACTGAACACAACAGTGAACATAACAGTGATTCGCAAAATCAAACACGAGGCAAAGAAACTCAGAATTTAAAACTGAAGTGAGGACATACAATGAATTGTGTAACCCTTGGTTGTGCATGCGTAATACTCACAGTATTGGTGTACTTATCGAAGGTTTGGTATATTCATGGCGCCCTAGGAGTGATTCGGATTCCACTATAAGCTATAGTTCCCGCTGTTCCTAACCCCGCACAAGTTTCGACTTCTGAGGAGTTGGTTCTCAACTACGGAGATGCGATATACAGAATACAAAGCACAAACATTGTTCCTACTCCATATCAACAGGCCAGCGTAGCCTCGTGGTTAAAGCGTCAATGTTCTATCCATACCACGACCGCAGAAATTTGTCTCATAGCCTTAGAAAATGTTTGCTCGCACAAATCTCTTGGAGACTTCTGAGGGTTGCTCGTAAGGGGGCAACCGAATGAAGGATAAGAATAATTTTAGAACAATGATCTCCCCTTTCTATAGCTTTGCAGACGGCTGTTCTCTCCACACAGCGTGTTCTTTCAGAATTCCCAGTAAACTGGGAACTCATGACAAAGACAGGCCAACACTGGCAAGGAACATCTTGTCAAAATGTCGGTCTTGGTAACCGACAAATCGCCACCAAAACTCAAAACTGTATAAATAATTAGATACACAGCTCAAAGTCATTTCCACACTCATATTGACTTTGAGAGACTTCTGTTGGACTAAGTTACGCTAGCTGGCGGTCTTTGGACAGCTAGCTGGAGACTATCCTGCACAAATGATAGCCAAAGAGCTCGAAACCAGTCTGTATAGATGTCGAGCGTTAACCTGGCTAAATGGAAATCAAAAAGCATTATTCAGGTAAGAAACACTTGCATCAGTATTTGTTTATAAGAATCGATGTATTGATTTAGGGAGGATGTGAGGGGCATGTATCACAAAAAAAATTTATTTCATAATTCGATAGAACTCACCCAAACTATCTCACCACCGCAAACCGTTTCTTGCTGTGAGCTCCCTACGTTTTATAAAAAATTATTGAAATCCCCGATTTTTCGGACCTCTGAAAACGAGGCGATGATGTGACGTCAAAACCCTAATACTGAAACAAGACTATTCCAGACAGAAATGAATGATACATGATTTCTGACAGAGTGAATTAGCGCGAGATCACAGTTGAAAGAATTAATATATCAGTTGCCTCAGTCTCCGTCGGGCGTTTGGTATTTTCTTTTAACTATGGCAAGATGAGGTTTCTACGTCATAAGATAATCCGTTTTTAGAAGGTACTGAAGGTACTATTATGTATGTTCAAAAATAAAACATTCTAGTTAATTTTTCGATCGAATTATGTCGTCAATCATCATTTATGTATAAAAGGATCATTGAAAACATGGTTTCAGTTAAAAGTTCTACTAAGGTGTACACGCCCATTAAATGTTCTGATACGTGGCATTATGATCTTGGAATAAGTAAATATATATCTTGTTTAGAAAATTTGAAGTTTGAATAAAGTAACTTTCGCTTGCATGAACTCTGGATCTATGTTCGAAACAAGTCCACTGCTATCTCAGAATGAAAGAACTTCTGTTTTTTAAAGATATATTATTATCAAAATGATCATTATTATACATCGAATCCAAAAAATTTATATATTGTTGAATCATCATAGACATTATTTTCGATCAACATAATTTGATTTTGAGACCATACGTTTTGTTGATGGAAATAATATTATACTGTTGATTGAATCAAACTACATACTTCATTTGAACAAGCTCCTTCTATGAAATCATCATCTGTATCTGTTTGATTCAACAAAAAATTGCTCAGTTCGCAAATTTTGCTTTCGCTCAGCTTCGCAAATGCAAAATTCGCTTGTCAAACAGAGTGTCACTTTTGATCCTAATAAAACAATCTATACTATTTTCCGTGATAATGTTTTCCTTGCAGTATAGTTATTGGTTCGACCATCAGGGTTGTAGATTCAATAAAGTGCATTGAGAATTTCCGTCGACACAACATTGAATGGACGTTAAACGAATCCCAGAGTCTCCGGGTGAAAGAAAATATATTCGGTGTGAATTGAATGTTGGCGGGGTTGAAGCTGAGTATTCCTCCGGGCGCAAAAATGTGTGCCCGCCTGGCGTGGAGACACTGGTGAGGCCAGTTATTGGTTTTTACGAGATAAACATGGCCGAAATTAAATCCCCGGGCGAGCACACACACCACAGAAAAACATTTCGATATTTAATTCCGAGTTAATTTTGACCCGGATTAATATCTACAACAATGAACTCGAATTCGACGGCACAAAGGACATTTGTTTAACCGGAGCCTAATAAACGGACAAAAACTTTTTTTAGAGAACATAGCTTTCCACTTCTTATTACGCAGTAGGGGTGATAGTAGTATACACAGGGTACTTCGAACGCATCGGTTCATTCAATTTGGGTGCCTCACTTCCATATCAGAAGTGAGACACACTGTATATACAGTGAAGTGTGGATTATGGAATAAATTCGATATTTCTATATATCGAGAGTTCGGCAAAAAATTTCAGATACGTCAATTTTGTTTTCCGAAAACCTATCATTCTGAAATAAATATAGGGTGATATAAAGGGTTCATCGCATGAACCGTTCTTCAGAAATTGTCAATGTTCCCATTCGATTATAATTCAAATATTAGTAGGGGTGTAGCTCGTCTATAGTTGATCCAGATATTACCAGGTGACACACACATTACAATCCGATTCTTATACATACGGACTTACAGTTTTTTCTAGAAATGCCAGCAACTTTTTTTATTATTTTACCTCGTGGATCAATGAGATGTGGTCAAGACTCAAGACTATTTAGAATAATGAATCGCACATAACATCAGACAAACATAATATTTCATAATCATTATTTATTTTTGAATATATAAAATTTGTTATTGCACCGAAATACAAAAATGATATTTAATTTTTTTTCTTAATGTATATATGCTCTAGAGAGACATGTAGGTGGCCCATATAGGGGTACCGTTTAAAAGAAATGAATTTTTGATCAGAATGTAAATTTGTAAAATTGTAAAATTGTGATTGAATTGATTCATAAGACAAAAAATATTTTTTTAGAAAAAATTATGTTTCTCTCTTATGTGCGACGCATTGTGAGCCTTGACCACATCTTAATCTACGAAGTAAAAAAAAACAATTTTAATTAATTTGAAAAAAAAATGACATTTGACATTGAGATTGCACTTGTTTCGACCTGTTGAACTTGAATATGGAAAAATATATAGGAGTCACAAAATTGCTGGCATTTCCAGAGAAACCGGAAGTTCACCATATTGGATTGAAGTGTGATCAAATCCGAAAGGGTTGCATATTTGTAGCAAATTTCAGAAAAATCCGTTTTCGAATGCAGAAGGTACAGGGGTGGCCCGATACCCTGTGTCACCCGATATATAGATATAGAATAGGACATACGATACGGTTTTGTTCAAAATGTTGATATTTGTCCCTGTTGATATGGAAATAAGGAAAGATATGATTTTCCCTCTTGATGAATTCTGTGTATGAAGATAAATTAATGAAAAGGGAAATTCCCAGATATGTATATATGATGAACTTAAAAAAAAAGATATACATGTAAAGAAAAGCATTGAGAATTCGCATTCTCTTTGTGATGAAAATAATAATTCTTCCTTGGTATATCCCACAGAAAACAAGTATTAGTAGAATTACTTATATCTATTGAATACACACAATAAGAATTTGAAAATAAAATCTTCGATCTGAAGTTGAGAATATGCATCATCATTCAGAAAAAATGAAATATACAGTATGATGCAAATGTATGGAATAAATTCATTATTTCAGAAATGGGCGACATTTGAAGAAATTCCAAAAACACGTGAGTTTTAATTTTTGAAACCTCATCTAATGACATTCATATGAGAGATGTTACGTCACCGGTGTTGGAGTAATGACGTAATGGACGGTTTTTTTAAATACAAACAGGGGTCATGTGACACCTCGTTTGAAAGGTCTACTGATCGTCTATCCAATAGTCAAAATTTTGCAAAAGAAGATTGAAATTAAAATGGATTATCATTTGGTTAACTGACTCTTGCAGAGATCTTCTACTGAGAATTGAACATCGGAAGGTCGTCTAGTTGAAAAAATACATCGATAAAAAAGTTCTGAACTCTACTTTTTGGGGTTTTTTCGGAAGTCGTCTTGTTTTGAAATGAATTTATTCCATACATTTGCATCATACTGTATATGAATATAATATCATTCTGATTATTCGACAGAAATTTACTACTTCCCTGGCTATATTGCCACATCGAACATTTAATTATATTTGTTGAACGTCCAAGAGGAGGATATAAAAATAAAAATCTTCTGAACTTGAGAATTGTCCTTGTCTTTCAGATAGTATAAATAATGATTTGAAAAAAAAGGGGTTATGTGTAGGATATAATATAACATACTATAATATATTCAGCATTGAAATGGAATTTGAAATGTATATATAGGAGAAATATATACTTGTGCTAACTCTGATCTTGGTTAGATAGTTTGAAATTTCCAAAAATCATTCGTATCGATGATGTCGGGGATATACATCTTTCACAAACAGGTTATTATATAACTTTTTTATTGCAATGAAATCATTTCAGGTATCAAACCTTCCTCAGTAACCAAAGTTCAGCAATTCTTCATGAAATACGCAATTTTCATCTCTCCTTAATATAACTAAAACTATATGGAACTGAAATCTAAGAATTATTTTTTGAATGTATATGACAAATTGATATTCATCATACAGGGCGTGGAAAGGAATTCTGAATTGAGAAAACCCAATCACGAATCTGCGATTGAAAATGTCGTGTAACTCACCTACATTTTTGTATTAACTACTGTCACT